TCAATAAAACAACAGCATAACAAATACAACAATAAATAAACTCATAAAACAAGCAATAAACATTAAAAAAACAATAGCAAAAAGCATTAGACAATAACACCATGACACATTTAAAACTAAGGCTGGGCCAAATGTAATGATTAAAATTTAAAAATGCTGAACATGACAGGTGCTATTGATAGGTTTTTGGAAATAGGTGCGATGTGCAGACAATCTTAAATCTCTAGTAAAGTGCAATTGGGACATGATGCTAGGAGTTTCCTATTCTGGGAAGAGATACTGGAACAACCACGTCTTCAAGCTCTTCCTAAAGACTGCCAAAATACAGTGGGACTATGACTTCTCCCAATCTTGATACAATATCACTATTGAGCAGCCTGTAATTACATTGGATTTTTAAGCTGCTCATTGGAGCTTAAAACTTGTGATCCACTAAGTGATCAACTTGTGATCTACTAAGATCCCTAGATCCATTTCACATGTATTATTTGTAAACCAAGTGTTACCTATACTATATATATTTGTATCTCATTTGTATTGCCTAAGTGCGATACCTTATGTTTCTCCCTGTTGAAATTCATTTTGAGAGTTTTGGTCCAGCCCGCCAACCTATTCAGGTACTTCTTAATTCTGATCCTGACCTATGTGATATTTGATACCCCTTCACATTTGTCGGAATTTGTATGGTTGATAAGCAAGCCCTCTATTTTATCATCCAGGTAATTTAGAAAAATGTTGAATAGCACCAGTAATCACTTCTCTCCAGGATGAAAGGGAACCATTGGGCAGCAATTAGAAATCCACCTAACAGCAGCATTATGTAGACCACATTTTACTAGCCAGTTTCAATAAAATCATCAGCAACCTTATCAAACATGTTCTACATCTAGAGCATATCATTTATCTACCAAGCCTGTAACTCTATCAGCAAAACAGATAAGATACTCGTTACATTTATTCCACTCTTTCTCTAATTACCTTAAACTGGCCCATTTTCCCCTCACATCTCCCCTATGAGATAAACCTAAAAACAGCAACAGACCCAGAGACACCCTATTTTCTTTCTATCACCACCCTGTTCTCCAGCAGTATATATATCCCTAAATCTTTCCCTTTGACAGAGAACTTGCTTTTTTCACTGCATGTCTTCTTAAGCTTACTATAAGAAGATAAAGCACATGTAAAAAAGGGAGTGAATGCCAGAGAGAAAAGCTTAGCTACTGTGTTTATTGAGATGGAGGCTCCTTTTTTTCTTTTCTACTAGGCTGGAAGTCCCCAATCAGTTATTAAGATTTAGTGTTTCTGAGTTCTCTGAAGAAACAGATTTTATAGGTTGCTTGTCAGCTTTTGTTTCTAAAGAAACATTTGCTTTGTAACAGCAGAGATTTCAGAAATGAAAACTACCTATTATTTTCAAAATTCCATTCAGGATGAAGTCCGAGCTATAAATAAAATGTCATGTTCTTTATTTAATAGCCTCCAGGGTCTTCTATTCTTTTATAGGAGGTGGACTTGTCCCTAATCTGCTAGTGTTTTTCAACATACGGTACTGAACAGCATGTTCAGGTTATTGTTGTTATGTATATTCAAGCCAAATTTGACTATTAAGAACCTAGCCTAAGGTTTTTGTTTGTTTGTTTTTTGTAAAAGTTGTTTAGAGGCTATTCGCCATCACCTTCCTCTTAGGCTGACAGAGTTTGCTTTGCTCATCATCACCCAATGGGTTCCTATGGCTGAATGGACATTTGAACCTTGATCTCCTAGAGTCCTGTTCCAACCTTCACACTATTACCTCACACTGGATCTAGAACAACATGTAGTTCCCTCCTCACAAAACAAACCACAGTACTACTACTTTTATGGTATAAAAGTAATGCCTCCAATGTATTTTGAAACACATAGTAACAAGTATTCTAAGTGATCATATTTTATAACAGATGTTTTAAAAACTTCTTAGCAGTGCATTATTAAGAAACAAGGTCTAATACTATTATCTGAATTTATTCTCAGGCAAACTTACATCATTATTATTAGCTCCAGAGACTAAAAAAAATCCAAGTTCACCACTGACAAACACTGATTTAAATAGAAAGTAGAAGAAAGCCAACTTTCTCAGCTTGGATCTACAGAGGTGGGTAGGGACTTATTCACCATTGCTGTTGACCTCTGATTCACTTATCACTAGTTACAAAGATCTGTTAAATCTTTATGTGGCCTTGGTTTATACCTGGAACACTGAGCATATGGCAGAAGTACGAATCCTATAACCAGGATAGCAAGCCAAGGAATGAATGAACTGAAGCCCTAAAGATGTCAATTACACAAGTTTTTATTCAGATTTCAGACTGCATTATCTTAGCCAATTTCCTCTTGCAAAATGACCTTTCATAAAGGAGAAGTTCCACACTACAAATACTGCATGAAGAACTTTTTAAAATCCCAGAATTATTATTCCTCTTGTTTTAGATAGTGTAAATTGTTCAAAATTTATTTTATCAGTATCACCAAGACATCTTACGATACAGGAATGGATATAAAATTAGGATGGATAAGTTAACAAATCAACTCTCCTGAAGCACTTCCAGCAAGAATAGACAATGCTAAAATCTACAAGCCCTAAAGTATACTAGTCTGACTTTTGTATATGGTAATCTCATTTATCCTTATACTTACACTATTGTTGACAAATGCTGTATTAAAATTCTATAAACATATTTCATATTTTAAGATCAAGTTTTGCTTTAAAAAACAGCCTATGTTTATGAATAAGTCATTAGACAAATCACAAAGAACAGAGTTAGAACCTCGAAGGAAGTTGCATAAGGACCGGAAAGTTAAGCTGAAGAAATTCCTGCTGTTTCTGCTTATGTTTTTTCCTCACCCACCACAAACGGGTCTGTATTCAATAAATGAACGATATGTGACAATTGGATCATCACACTTTTTACATGCGCCCACTTCTGTCTTTCTGTGTATTCTGCCTCACTGCATTTGTCTGCACACATTTCATTTAATGGGTACACAAAATGTGTGTGCACATCATGATACACCAAAACACAGTAATTGTGTGAATGTCTGTATTTAATTAAATCATATTCTTATTAAAGGACCAGGTTTGCAGACCAAATGAATTAAATTCAATTCCGCACTTGGATGACAAACACGGGGAAGATTGCATTTTGTCAACATCATTCCACCAACTTCACTCTTTCATTATCATTCATGCAATGGCCACTCCTTATGTGAACTTTTCCAGTGCACTTCATGGGATTACCCTTGGACACCATTTAAAAACCTGAGGTAATATAATAAGAACTGCATAACTAGTCTGGTATAAAATCCATATTATACAATTATTTTGCCTTCACTGCTTCATAACTTGCTTCAAGGTTCATTACCTCCAGGATCCAGATTAAGTTTAATCCTGCATACCTTTAGGGAACCTAGTTCCACATTCGCATTTTCAAGTCTTATAGCCACCAGAGGAATGCATTTTTACTGACAGTGCCCTATACATACAATGACAGCTTTATGTGCAGTCAAAATCAAACTTTCTTATTTTGGACGGTGGAGAGATATTAAATTTGGAAGTGGCAGTATTTTCCATGGTCATACCAACAAGGTGAGCTTTAAAAAAAACCCACATACAATGCAGACAGCTGGTTTGATCCATATCAACAAACCAGTTCCAGAAGTTTATTTATCTCCACCTGCCTTTTTGTAAAGCAAAGAGATCTTAATTGACAATTAAGATCAACCCACTCCAAAACATCTGTCTAATAGCAAATATAATCCACAACTATTGTCAGTGAGAAAATAATCTCAGTGTGAGAATTATAGCTAAATCCAGAAGAAGAAGGAAAGCCAGAGGAGGGTGTGAAGTGACATTACTGTTCCAGTGCCTTGGCTCTGCTTCCACTATACCAGGATTTAAACCAGGCATGGGAAAACTTGGCCCTCCAGGTGTTTTGGACTTCAACTTCCACAATTCTTAACAGCCAGTAAACTGTTAGGAATTGTGGGAGCTGAAGTCCAAAACACCTGGAGAGCTGAAGTTTGCTCGTGCCTGGTTTAAACAGAACCCACCCATTCCCTGGGAAATCTTTCCAGCAGCTCTTTACAATCTTATTATTATCTCGGACATATTGTGGCAAATTTTGCCAGAGGAACAAAAGCCTTCAGCCGTTATGTAGCATCCTTGTGGGGTTTTACAAGTAGCTTATTGCTTTAGTTTATTATTATTAATTATGTTTATGATTATTATTTTCATCTTTTGGCTTTCACACTTGACTGAAAGGTAATTGGGCATACTTACTTTAAAACAAGAGAAAAGGGAAGGAAATCAGAGTGCTCTGCTACATGTAATGTTGTTTCTTGTAACAAGTTACTTTTTAATAATTGTGGTGGAACAAAGATACATTTTAAAAACAATGTAACAAGTAAGAGCAATTCTACTTTATTTATAGTCCTTTCTAATTATTAAAAATACTTTTAAGGGCATGTTAAAGATCATTTTGACAGAAAGTTTACAAATACCTTTCATCAAACCAAGTGCCTTTTAAAAATAAAAATGTAACAAAAATAATGGAAAAGTAACAGGCAGTGCAACAAGCACTGTAGTTCCCCAACATCACAAAATAATAGCAATGGATGACTTTTTAAATATTAATGAGTGGGAGAAACAATTACATTAAAAAAATTCTAAGCTCTAAGGAACATTAGAAAAGTGAAACTTTTATATAATTATTGGAAAAGAAAAAAATACAGCATTATTTCTAGATCCATATTAATTGTTCTGACAATTCCTTCCATTTTCCTCAGCATCATTGTCTTCTCCAAGCTTTCCTTTCTTCTCATTATGTGGCCAAAGTATTTCATCTTTGCTTCTAATAGCCTTCTTGTTAATACAAGAGTGGAGCAAACTGCCTTTAAAAATCGCTCACATGATGTATGGAATAGAAAAGGTGGAACAACCCAGCCAAAACTAAACTAACATCTTTAATTAGACTTAATTGAGAGCTTTTCACCTCCTTAGGGAGAGAGTTCCACAACCAAGGTGGTTCCACAAATTGGGTCATTCTTTCTTGTGGCCCCACCAGTCTCTTGATATTAAAAAAAACTCAAAACTATTGGAAGATTCAGACACTCAGAGTCTGTCATCTGTTATGGCTGCATCAAAGTTTCTGGCGTTCCACAGCTCAAGTTACTACAGATTACTGATTTGCAAACTCAGGCCAATACTACAAATGAGCTGGCAGTCATATTCCTTCCCCCACTAACACTAGTTTCTGTAGTCACAGGGGGAAAAACAACTTCATTTAGTTCCTTTCAAGACACATAATCCATGCAAAGTCGAAACAGCATCCAATATGTTTATACAGTTTTAGGAACAGAATACAATTTGGGCCCAACAGATGATTACTAGAAATGTAACCAATATCCCAAACAAAATATAGCAGCAGAAATCCCAGTTTGCTGGGGACAATTCTCAAAACAAAATGACACAATGTATCTGAAAGTCCTAGGGCAATTTTAATTTTTATCTGTCCACACATAATAAACATAGTATAAACGCTCTTATATACATGGATTGCAAAATTATTCCCAGTGTGTGATTTTGCAACTTTTTTGTTTATCTTACTTATTTGCAGGGAATCCTTCAAACAAATGCTTGGTAAGTAAATAATGTAACTTGAAAACCACAAACTTCACATTTATTTACTTGATTCTATGTTGCCTAGCATCTGATGTTCACAGTCATTACAGCTCTTCTTTAATTGGTTACTGATGTTTCTTTAAAAGTTAAGACCATCATTTAATATTGTGTATGTTCTCCAGAAAATGCAAGGTTTCCACAATTACAAACTGAAATAACTACCTCCCCACTTCCCACAAACAAACCTTAATTCCATTCAACTCTTGGATGGTTACAAAACATCAGCTACCTAGGGCTGCTGGGCATGTAATTCAGGTTGTACAACTCTTTTGTGTGTGTGTGTGTCACTTATATTTATTTCCTTACATTACTCACTTTTTGTCCAAGAAACTTGAGGTGACATACATGTGGCCCATTGTTTTCTTCAGTTTGTCCAAGGGAGTTTAGGCTGACAGATAAGAATCAAACCAAGGTCACGTCTAACCATGACTCAGTGAAAAAGTCAATTCCAGGGATTTACAGCCTCACGATCCATGGGATGGGGGAGGTCAAGAGAATAGGACAGATACACTCCTGTTTCCTTTCCAAACTCCTCTCATTTTCAATTACCATCCATTGACTAATCAAAATTAGGGGAAGAAAAACCAAGAATATAGCGAAAAACTCTTGTAATGGGATGGCATTCTTACCATATCCAGGAGGTATCATGGTCATAACTATAGTCTTGTTAATAAAAAACAAGATGTGGAAATAACTTTTGATTTAGTATCCCTAATCAGTCTCTTCAAAGTGGGAGGGGAAGAGACTGTGTATCCAACAGGATTTCCAAGAGACTCAAAATTATTTGTTTCGGAAAGGCAACCATCCAAAATACTCAGACAAAGGGAGTTAAAATCTGAAGCCTTGCAGCTATAAACTATGCCACACATATAAGGTTTTCAATCGAAATCTGTAAAGTAGTTAATAATTGAAAAACTACCACAACTGGTTAGGTCCCGTCCCCATAGTTACACACTTTACTGTGTAAGTATTAAAATTCAGTTCTTCTGGATGTTTTCTCCTGCCATCTAAATTCTGTGCATGGATACTGCAATTTCAACTATTATGGCTCTATTACTTAATGTATGTGTATGCATCTTCGAGTTGCCTGTTGACTTATGATGACCCCATGAATTTCACAGGGTTTTCTTAGGTACAGAGTATTCTGCAGTGGTTTTGTCAGTTACTGCCCCTGAAATATAACCCATAGCACCTGTAATGCCACTATTTATTTCCTCACATTTATCTCTCTTCCTTTTCTTGTATATTTAGGAGTATTGCTCCTGATGTTCATGATACTATTCAAAGATGCTAACTGGAGTCATCAAAGGCAGAAGAGATCAATGGTTCCTATTGCTATGGGGGGACAACATACTGCAGGAATGCACTATAAAATAAGGACTGGAATTTAAACACAGTTTTTCACTCTGTTTTATTAACGTCGTAAAATTGGTTATTATTGTTTTCATGTGATCTGCTTTATTGTCAAATGCTCTGTTTTGTTTATTCCAAATTGTTTTAGTTTATGTTGTGAACTGCCCTGAGTCCCCATGGGGAGATAGGGTGGGATAGAAATAAAGTTTTACTTACTATTATTTTAAGAATTGCACCTAGAAAATGTAATACTTTCAAACAGACAAAAAAAAATCCTAAAGACAAAACCTGAATTTCACACAAAAATTAGCAAATCATACATTTGGTGTAATAGAAAGTAGTAATCGGGAGAGTTCTACAAAGAAAAACACAAACTGAGGATTTATTTTCTCTTTTAAAACTGCCATGTTTGTCCATTATACAAAATAGTGACCCAGGTCTCAAACTATCTGTGCAATGCATTACCAGACTCAAGGACTTATGCCACTTCTGATAGATCAGGGATTTTGAACTAGAAAGGCAGAAAAGAAGGTATTTCAGCCATCTAGGATATCCAGAGCTAATCTGGATTTTGGAATGCTGCATTGATAATAATGTGGAATATGTACAGCCAGCTTTCTGACTTGTCTTGCCATTCATCCGTCCTGCAAATGCATGTAAATAAAGCTGAATACAGACTTCACAGGCTTCTGGCTCTGTTTTTCCCAAAGGAAAATGACACAGAAGGCCACAGCTGTTCAGGGAAGAGGGGAAAAGCTAAAATGTGTAGGAGTAGAAGTGTAAATGAACCAGAAAGTGAGTAAAAAGCACACAGAATCAAGTCCACTAAATCAAAACATTCAAATGAAAAAAATTAGTAAAGTAATATTTTAGTTGTAATTTAAAACAATCTATAGGTTATCTCACGGATTTTATTTCTCTCTTACCTGTTGTTCATCTTCCATGACATTACTGGCAAATTCAAACATCAGGTCATTCTGCTGTACCACTGCTGCCATAATAAAGCATTCCAAGGTCTCAGTTCTGCATAAAATAAAAGGCTCCTCCAGAAAAAGGTTTATCACCAGGAATGAATTGTGCAAGGAAAGAGACCTTGAAAGTGATCAGGTGATGAGGTAGCTTGTTCTTGTGCAGGCTTCCAGAATTTTCTTTTTCAAGGCAGATAAATGATGAAATGCCTCCTTGGGTATTTGTCTCACCCAGAAACCACTGGAAACAAAGGCAGAATAAGATCAGAAAAAATTAAATGAATAAAATATAAAATAAATATATGTGGTAATAAGCCTGCTATCACATTGTTTAAGCATTTACTTAAAACAGAACACTACAATTGCTCTTATGCGTTCTGAAACATACATGGCCTATAGGTTGCTTTTTAAGCTATTGCTACCAAGAAAATATGGAAAATTTGGATACATCAAACACTATTAGTTTATGTAGTACACATTTGTTACAACTTGCAACCTTTCTATATTGATTTTTAGACCAAATATCTCACTTTACCACACTCCTCGAACACATTGTAGATAAGAAATAATCTAAAGATGTAGAAAAACCCTTTCCCTCTTCTTAACAGAGCAAATATTTCAGCACTTTTCAATGTTCTGTAAGTGCAGTGTGAGTGTATTCTTATCTCTTAACACCGGCTTGTAAGCAGCAGGAAGGAAACACTGACCACGTCATGGCAAATGAGACATGTGAAGAGCTGCTACAAGACTTGATAAACAGAAATGCACTAGGAATGTCACCACATGGAAGGGACAGACTTAAAGTCCACAATGTACAGGGTGGGCTAAACTAGCACCACAGGAAGTGATAAGCTATATTACAATTGTAAACAAAGGTTTTAAAAAGGCAAAGGGATATTCAAAACATTCGCGTCATTAAAACACAATAACTGCTATTCTCAGTATTCTGGCAACCCTCTTGATTTTTATATCCACACTTTCTGTAACAAAGATAGGTTGAGGCTGAGAAAGATCAGCTTTGGCCAACCAAACCTCTCTTTCTTTTGCTTTCTATAAACGTAGGGAACTGTCCTTATTTCCATGTATTTAAGAAACTCACATATTCAGTTGGCAGTCACAATTGAAAAGCTTTTTATTTATATTCTTAATTGTATACCTTGACCCATTAAAACTTCGTTTAATTAATTAATTAATGTCCTACATGGGAACTACGGTATTTTCCATCCAATCAATACAAGTACATCTATGTTCCCTAAAGAAACTAGATCAAGGGTCCTCAAACTTTTTAAACAGAGGGCCAGGTCACAGTCCCTCAAATTGTTGGAGGGCCGGATTATAATTTGAAAAATAATGAATGAATTTCTATGCACACTGTGCATATCTTACTTGTAGTGCAAAAAAACACTTAAAATCAATACATAATTAAAATGATGAACAATTTTAACAAATACAAACTTATTAGAATTTCAGTGGGAAGTGTGGGCCTGCTTTTGGCTGGTGAGAAGAGATTGTTGTTGTTGTTGCTGTTGTTTTGTGCTTCCAAGGGCTGAAAAACTCGGCTTATACTCAAGTACATATGGTAGTTAAACATTTGATTTGCACATTAACTATATAGAATCTGTAGCCAAATGTAATGTATTTTCCAAAAGCAGAGTTTAAAGATGAGATTCATGACATAGTTTCACTGATTTTATTCAAAGTTGCACTTTGTGTTATACACACCTTTTTAAAAAAATAGCAAGGCTATTAAGATAAAGTTCTGTCATTAAGGAAAATGGCAGTCACATCTTGGTACACTGTTCCAAATGATTCAAAATCAAAAGAACACACTCTCTCTCACACACACTAATATATGGTATGCCTGGAAATATAATGTGTTTAAAGATAGCCAATTCAACAGACATCAAGCAAACTATGACCAACCATTTTACCTCAATTTTAAAATTTTAAGGCTCTTTTTCCTTGGATGAATTTATTACATGCTGAATTATTCCACCCCTCTAAATCAAATGCATTGTGAAATAACTGTAAATATTTCAGATCGTTTATAAATAATCTAGTTTCAAAAGTTGCCTGTTTGCCAAATCACAGAGCTTAAACAAAACGACTCCTTCACAGAGAGCTGGTGAAAAGAGGAACCTTGGGAAAGCACACCCCGAGAAAGGATGCTATGAATCAAGAATTCATAGCTGAAATCTCACTCTGCCACAAAGTTAAAAGGTGGTCTTACAAAAGCCACTCTCTCTCAATCCTACCACGCCTATGCAATATTCAGGGTCTCCTGTGAGGAGTATAAAATACTCTGAACACTCCAAAATACCATACCAATGTTAAGTAGTACTGTGACCTAAATGATCTTTTGATGGCCTTTTGATGGCCTGTATATAGTCTACAACCACCAAAGCAAACATAAAGATAATTTGCAGGGGGTAAAGAGCATATGTCAGAGAGCTGCCTCATCATTATCCAAACTACTTGGTTAACTTTAGAATCCCAAACTACTTAATTTTAGAGAAATCCAGAATACTTTATCCATAGATCTACACAACCACTTTAGGCATTATTTACCTGTCTTACAGTTTGAGCTTACTTCAGTTTCAAGTGAAGAAAAGGCTTGTACTTCTAAATTACTCTGTAACAGTGCAGATCTGAACTTGTGGTGGGTGATATATCTTATTTTTCTAACCATTGTGCTGATTCTGGGGTTTGAAGCTGGAAATTACATGCTTTTCTACTCCCTTAAGCTGTTATCATGACTTCAGAACATGTGGGCAAGTCCCAGAATGCCTTCAAAAGTGAAAGGTAGAAAAATGCCCCTTTTTCTACTGTGAACCTTCTTGGCTATATGCCCTGCAGACAATTCACAAGCCTTCCCCTATTCATTAGCTCCACTGCTCTTCTTTCACAGGTTTGTTATACTATGATCACAACTTCTCTTGGGCTCTCTAGAGGCCTTTATTTCCCTGACCTGAAGATCCCGAAACAGAAAGCCTTACTGACTATCCAATCCAAGTGTTCTTGCCTTGTTCATTTGGTCTCTTGCTTTTTTTTTGCTTTTTTTTTTTTTTTTTGCTTTTTTTGTGATTCATGACTGTGACAAATGGGACGACAGGAGACAAAAGCAAAATGACAGCAATCAAGTTATGCTAACCTTTCCCTCAGTATGGTTAAAATTAGGGTGTTTTTTGTTAAGATTTTAAAAGCTTGCTGTAAGTTGTCCTGTATTATTTTACAGGAAAACAATTTAAAATAAATGAATGCAAACCACCTCACACAAACTTTCTAGGACCCTCAAGGGCCTGATTTAAGCCTATAGACCTCTGTTCACTTGTCAAAATGCATATACCTGAAGCAGGATCAGAAGGTTATATGTGAAAAATTTTGTAAGGTTTTTGTTATTAGGAATAGTCTTACCACAATATGTTAATATATTTGCATAAACGTCCTCTCTTCCACTCTTCCTCCCACTTGCTATCAACTGTGGCCAACATGAACAGTCACATCCTTATTTGGGGCAGCTGGTATGCGTCAACCCAACTAGAAATTCCAGTTTTTACACATTGCTGTCTAGCTTCCTGACAAGAGCTTGCCCATCCTACCCTTGTGTCATATTACAGGCAGCCAGGACTTTCAGCCCTTGCGAAACAGCCAAACATGTCACACACTCAGATATGTCCCTACCTGCTCCTTTGTATCTAATCTCTTTCTATATAAATGGGAATGCTTCAGGAGGGATTATTTTTCCAAAACAAAACCACTGCCACTATTATGAATCTAGCTGTTATGACTTTTCAGAGTAAACTTGTAGAATTTAAATACAAATCTAGACAAAAGCAAAAAGAAAATATCGTTCACAAAGGCCCTTAAATTGCTTTTCTGTCATTACAAAAACAATTTTAACAGCCTTGTGCATATTATTTTTTCAGATGAACAAAAAAGCAGAGTAAGCATTAGTAGTAGACTGCACTGAATAAGTTAAATCGAAAGCATATGAAAACTTAACATAAATTTGAAATTTCTGTTGCAGTAACCAGTAATATAGTATTATCAACTCCTTTATGTTCTCAATACTCCTGAGTTTGCCTCTCTAGGTCCACTCTCTAGGTCCACTCTGCAAGTAAAGATACGTATGTGTTAAGCCTTTTGCTCACAAATTAGCCTTTCCTCCCATACCTTTGAATGAGCAAACAAACAAGCTTGAAAGCTGTAGTTCCCCACAGACTTACTAGGAAACTGGAGTCATCTGTGGCTTTTTGGCTTTTGTTCATACATATATGTAAAGAAAGCAGAAGCTGTACACAAACCATATATATTTTGCCTTACTCCCTTAATGCCACTCTTCAATCATTGCCTCCGTGAAATACCTCCATGTATACTCGAATTATCTGCTGTAGAAATCTGAGTACCAAAATGGGAACTGGAGTCAAGAAAGAGCAGCCATGGAGGATTCTTACGTGTCAAGAAATGTACAGTATCTTAGCTATCAGCACCTGCATGACTGATAGCTAAGATTTCATTTACTCACATATGATAAAAAGGTTCTCTATAGGAATTTTCTCAATCTTCAAGGCAATTCTGCTTTGTGCTTCTATTAGATATTACTATAGAGCAGCAGTTCCCAACCTTTTGACTCACAGGGCCCTTTTTAGAATCAATTTCTTCTTCTTTTTAAGTTATATATTACATGTTTATTATAGGGTGCACTTTTCTTTTACATTTTGTGAAAGATCAAAGATATTTACAATTTTTCTAAGATTTATATTGCTCTAATTTACAGTTCACAGAAATCTCGACCTTTAAAGTCAGGTTTACACATTCTCTCAGGAGGCAGCTACAGAGAAAATCATTTATAAACAGGCAAGGTCCAGCTTGCAACATGCAATTTTCTTTAGATACATGTATTTTTATACAGGTTTTAGATTTCTTTACAAAAATTCTATATAAAATTTTGTGGCTTCAAAATTGTAACCTGCACCCTTTGTAAATGTACGTTTGAGAACACTAGGTATGAAGGCTAGATAAAAGTGCTGAAAATTACCATTTTTGAACTACATTATTCAATTTAATCGTGTATTATTTTTAGAATCAATTTCTATGGCAGAGCCCCTTAGGCCTACCTTATGTTAAAAGTTAGCAGTGTTTAGGAGTGGTGTTAGAAGGGGATGAAGAGGGGATAGACAGTGTCCGAAAGTAAAGAGATATCTAAACAATTGTGCGATGTCCATGCAATGAAATTGTATT